TGCTAGACAGCAATTGGCATTTGTCAACTTGAGACATTTGTGACACCGTCGCGACATCCAGTAGTCTATGAAGGGTCGAGTGTATACTGCGACGGTTCGGCCAGTTCTGTTATACGGAGCAAAAACATTAAAGAGGCAGGATAAAGACAGACTGTCGGTGTTTGAACACCGCTGTCTACGCAGCATTGCACGAATCTAGTAGGTCAAACGGACGAGCAATGCTGAGTTAGGCACAGAGTTTTGGGTATCCGCGGTCACCCACTGAAGCAAGTGATCGACCTCCATAGATTAAGCTGACTGGGGCATGTGTTACGCATGCCACTAGATAGGTTACGACGGCGATCAATCTAACAAACTTACCGTACAATCAGATCGGCCAGATAGAATGCTTTCATTCCGGCTTCGAGAGCCATCAGTTGGGTCTCATCCAACACTGTGGGATTGCCACGGGATTGAATCGGGATTGTATTGCCCCTGTCGAATTGATCAATCTGTTCCGCGGTCACATTACCACTTTTCAGGTGAGCAGCAATATCCAGTAATCGATTGCGTAGTCTGGGCTGCAATGTGGAGTCTGGCATGATCTGCACAGTATATCGAGTATGTCGTAGCTGAGTTCGAACAATCAAACCTTTGGATACGCCCTGCAATCGATACATATGAAACGGAAATGTATCACAGGGTATTTTAGTGGCTGTAAACTTTCTCGCTGTACTGCGTTCTATTGAGTGATTTTTCTCAAGAATACATGAAAACGTGCCATGCATCCAATGAAATCAATCTGCATCATAGACCACCTAGTTATTGCAATTTAACAATAGTAAGGGACTTTGGCAAGATATCAAATAACTGTGTTGGACCAGATTGATTGCAACGGATTTGGATAGTGCAGCATTTATCCACCTATCAGGCGATACCACCACACCATTTGTTCTGGATAACATAGTTCAAGTAGGGACTGTTTTGAAAGGAGACACCTACAGACTTTTGGACACCACGAAAACCCACGTCTACTGTTCGTTCCTATGGGGTTTTTTAATCTTCTCTTTTAAGATATGGAGCCTATTTTCTTAGTGAAATATTAGCATTATTCCTAAATACTTTTCTTAATCCAGTTTAGTGAACAAGCTTTTTTTCGGTGACTTATCAACTGGCTAATACGCCACATTTTACATCATATCATTTTGTATAGAAATGAGGAAACTAAAATTAATGATTATTCAAATGAGAATTATTGTTACTGGTTTCTGTCCCAATTTAAAAAAACCGGATATGGCTGATCTTACCATCGAAACGTGAGTTTGGTTCGTGTTAATTGTGTGATTTGGGGTGGGATTGGGACGGGGAGGAGGGGGTGAGGGAGGATGAGTAGCACGGGAGGTGGGGGGGCGTGGTAGGTTGAGAGTGACTTCACAAAATGTTTTTGGGCTCACACAGAGGGATTATATAGACGAATTTCAACCGCCTCTGCGGTAGCTAGGATACGGTTTTTAATCGGCTTTGATCTGCCACCCCAAACAGTAGAGAGGCCGAAATGCTTCAATCACACTCAGTGTGTGATCGGACGCGACGAGTTGAGAAACAATGGCACTTGTAATGATTTTAATCACACCAGTGTTCAAACAGGTCGGATGATGTTCCCGAACTCGTGTAGATAGGCACCTGCTCGTGCAACCGATACATGGCGCTTCACAGGAACATGTAAACTGTTGCACACAAAATGAGACTGCAGAAGCAGGAATTCTGTCTCAGAGTTGCGAACAAAAAATCGGTCTAGATGTGAATACGACACGTTGGTTTGTCGCGTGAAAAGTATTCTGCAACGCAGTTCTTAGTTTGCGGTTAAGCAATTGTGCGATTGTATAGCCCTTTTGAATGGGAGAGAAATGTATACTGGCTTCTTCTCTGCGTTTAAAAGTCTCTTTTTTCACAAAAAGTTATCCACAAAACGTTCTGGATTGTCATTTTGTAGAAAAACAATAATGGATGATAGTTCCGCATTTATGGTATCATCGATGCACATTTTCACCGTCCTGTTTACCAAACACTGAATAGGATTTCTTTTCCGTTTCCTAATCATTTTCTGCACTCCAGACCGGAAACAGTTGTTCCCATCCCCAACTCCCTTAATTCCATCGTTTTAGTCAAACGCTTCCGTTCTATCGCTTCAAATTTCAAACTAGCAAACCGTGGAGTCCTTACATGCATCCAATCTTCTCTTGATGTCCCACACGATCCTCTTCGGTTTCCGCACAAACCTGTCTGCACACACAGGCTTCCAGCACTCTCATATCACGGCAGTCCGTAATGACTAACAATCACACCAACTGCATTTCGATTCGATTGGTTCCTCCTCGTGGTCACTTCCCTTCGCTGCAGATGCACGTGATCTTGTTTGACACGGTTTGGTGTATTCGTTTCATTGCCCTCGCACTGCACGCCTGCTTGCTCAAAGTTCCTGCACGATGAATTACCGGCCGCATAGATTCGGGAGATTATCGGACCGGATAGTGCCACAATTTGAGGTTTGTATATTTTACCGTTTTTTGCGAAAGAAACCCGTTTGGTGAGAGACGCTGACTTCTGGGTACTCGACGTGGATTGTTATAGTCTGTAAAGTCAACAATAAGTCTACCGGGATTGCAAAAGCCTATTATCTTAAGAAGAGCGGATACAAATGAAAGCCACAACGGGAAGGAAACGTGATTGTACTCATGAAACAAGCCTATTGCTAAGCCCAAAATGATACTTGCCAAGGAAAAAAGTTTTAGTAATTTTTCTTATCGAACGAATAGAATATACTGATAATAATAACAATAATAATAATAATAATACTTTTGATAGACGAATAATACGGTTTTGTTGGTTGATTACACAATTCAAATCCTTTTGTCTCGTAAAACAAGGCCAGGCTCATCCAAGTTAATAAGCGAGTAACAGTCACTGGTTAGATCACAACACAAAAAAGTCTTTGGAACTGTAATCACAGTGAGTTAAAAGTGGATCACTGCCAAATATGTGAGAGCAGTGATAATGCGGACTAATGGGTGGTGCATAACTAGCTCACATAACAAATAGAACTCAGACTACGATGAAAAGGTTTGTGATGACCGACAAACAGTACTCACTGAACAACTATTTCGTCCTGTTTGGGACTCGTCAGTAGTGCGCGTACTTTTTGTCTGTCAGGGCTCGAACCATAAACAAAATGTACGCACTGCTAATGAGTCCCAAACAGAACGGAACCAAACAGCTGTCCAGTGATGTTTGTCGGTTGTCACAAGCATTGCCATGGCATTTGAATGCAATTACCTCGTGGGGAATTAACGATCTCCCGAGGAGTTAAACCCACATTCAAGACCATCAAGAATGCCTGGTACCTCTTAACAATCAAATGGGTCAATCCAAGCTTGATAATCTATAACGAACTCAGACTAAATGAAAACTCATTTTCTTTCGATCAAAATTGTTCTAGTATACCACATCACATGATTTCTTTGTGATTCTAATAACTGGAGAGGCAAATCAGTGAAATATACATTTATTGATTTGTTGAAGTACAGCTGATCCCCTGCCATGTTGCACCCCTGAGAAGTTGGATTTTACAACGTAGTTTATAATTATGCTAAGCCGCCCCATCCCTCAATATGTCACAGTTCCTGATACCTACTAACTTGGTCGTTGACCGATGTTCGGGACGGCCACTGATCAGCCAACCTGTAATGTCTTACTCAACCAATAGCGTTTCACCTAGTGTGACGCAATAACTTTTTGCGAGGAAGATACACCGTTATCAGCAATCAAATAAATTTTCACTTGACATCAAATTGTGCAGGCGCTTGTTGATCTGAATATGTTGGAAATGCTGAATCAGCTAGATACGATTCAGAACTCTTGGGATTTCAAGAAAAGCGGTCCACAGTGTTATATCCCATTGAACCAATATTGAATAATTTGTGAATGCTGGAGTATCTCAGGTAAGATGCCACCTGAAAACCAACGAAAAGTTCCAGGCAGTGAATGATGTAACCTTGGCTTAGTTTACTGTTATGAGGGAAAAGCACAGAGAGTTCCCCATGACCGAGAGCATCATTTTTAAGAAAACAATCCAGCTAGCACAAAGATTGCATCCTAATGACTTCAAGGTTTCCAAAGTTTGGTTTTGCTCTTGGTCAAACACATATGGTATTCCATCCTAAACTGTAGGAGGCAAGCAACTACTTTACAGGTTTGTGGACGAATTTTAGGTGTACCACGTGATGCAATTGAGGAGTTTCGAGCGGGGTTACCGCAGTTGATGCACGAATATGCTAATTGTGATATTTTCAATTCAGATGAAACAGCTTCGTATTAGAAGGAACATGAGGGCCCAAAGGAAAGAAAGTTCCTGGATCTAAGAACTACAAAAAGAGGCCTACGTTACTGCTTTGTGGGAGCATGACTGGACAAAAGTTATTACCACTGATGATTAGAAAATTTCAAACTCTTCGATCTCTCAGAAGTAGGTAGATTGCAGTTTTAATTCTTAAAAGAACGCATGGATGACTTCTGCGTTTTTTTCACAATTGGTTGTCTGATGTCAACCGCAAGATGATTTTTCAAAGACGTTCTATTTATTTATCATTACAAAGCCCAGATATTCTCCAAAGTCAAATTAGTAGGGCTGTCTCCGAACTGTTCTTCAATGTCACAAACCATGGATTTGGTCTTTCAAATGTTTGTTTCGGAAATATCTACTGAAATGTCTTGTCTTTGATTGAAAATGAGCAACTTAGCAGGGAATTCGAAGTGAACATTACGTATATATTATTTGCGAGGCGAACTATATCATATATCACTATTGTATGCATATTAATGAACAAATATGTTGAGATACCTATGAGGATACATTCAACTCCAACTCAGACAGATTATCCGAAATTCAAGCTCGTACTAAATCTTGTCGAAGTGACTCTTTCTCGAACGAGAAATCCCCATTGATCCGGTAATAGGTGGCGCCGAAATCGATCGCGGAATTGATCGAATAGGCGGTCAATGAGGTACACTGACTGGTGGACTCAAACACGTCTGAGGTGAGATCAACTTGAGAGTGCTTGCGTGGTTCTGTACGAAAGTGAATGAATGCAAGGGCACAATTAGCAATTGGACGACCACTATGAGTGAATACAACAACAATAATAATAATAGTAATAATAACAACAACAACAATAATAATAATAATAATAGCAGTTACAAAAACAACAGGCAACGATGGATAGTCCCATACAGTTTGCTTCCTGCCCTGTGCACGCTGTGAACGCATGTTGTTAATTATTATAAGCATGCCTGAAGTTGCAGGGACACTCTAGGTACTGGTGTGCTTGAGCGGTCGCGTGACTGGCTGTTCCATTTTGACTGGTTGAAAAGCAAAATGCCCGCTGGGAACACATATGGCTTTTTCAATGGAAAGAATATGGCATTGTATGCCCCGAAGCGAATCAGGTACCAAACCAAGTTTGATAGTGGATAATTCCGATAGATTCATTAGAACAACAGAGATGTGGCGAATAGGCTTGCTTTCAGTGCGTTATCTACCGGCCAATTATAGCACATTATATAACTCAGGGTTTCAGTATGTGCAAAATGGGAGTTGAGGGGTTGGGAGAGAGGAAGGGAGGGACGGAGATGTTTCAACACTGACCGCGCAAGTGAGCCAGTGAGGACAAAATTCTCTCTGAGGGATTCATTTGTGCACTTGACAGAATCATTAGACGCAATCAACAGGCGTATATTTTCGTTGGATGTAACTTCGTCATTTATCATTGTTCCCTTGAAGGAAACAATTGATGTTTTGTGTGCATACCTTTAAAGAAAACATATCAATATCAGAATTTCAGCGCATCGCCCAACGAAACTCCTGCAATGCACCTTCTATGTTCAATTTCAGTTAAGCGGTTGCCTGTATCGTCAAAAAGATAGAGTCGCTGTGAGCTCACAATTAGGCCCCCTATTGGCAGTTATCTTTATGACAAAGCTAGAGAATGAGACATTGTCCACCAGTGTCGAACACTGTGTCCTATACAGGCGTTATGTGGATGATATTGTGTTATTGACAATTTGCATAATCCCTCAACGTTTTTGGATAGTTTTAATCGGGCTTATCATAATGTAACTTTCACACTAGACCTGGATTCTGTTGAACAAATGGCGTTTCTCGGTACTTACTTGTCACACTGCAAAGATGGCTCCCTCGGACAAAACATAAACAAAACGAATACGTGGACAGGACAATACATCAATCATGATAGCTTCAGTCCCGATGCAACGTAAACACAACCTAATCCAGTCCGTCGCCAATTGTGTAAGAAGACTTTGCTCTACTGATGCAGTGGATGATGAATTGGGAATAGTTAAGTTAACGTTCCTGAAAAAACGCATACCCAGAGGAATTTATCGATCGTTAAATGGGAACCTATATAGCAAAATTGACGGACCCAATAGTGGAGAGGAAAAGATTTAAATTTCGTGGCCTTTCAAAGGTGACACCTTTACGAGAACAATGAACAAATGACTGAGGAATGTAGTAGAAAATAAGTACTCCTCATCGGAAGTGCGCACATTCTACTCTTCCAAATCAATTCAACCAGTACAGATGAAGAACAGGCTATCGATTGAGATGACCTGTTTTTGTGTCTACTAGTTTACTTGCATCTGTTGCACAAATCCCGTTCTCTCTCAAGAGTATGTGTCTGAAGTGTCCCCAGCTACCATTTTGGTCGAATATTCACTCTTCGCAAGGAATTATCTCCAATTATGCGATCAGTGTTGGGACATCTCCCTCCCTCCCAATCCCTCGACTCCAATTTCGCACATACTGAAACCCTGAGTTATATAATGTGCAATGATTGGACAGTAGATACAGCACTGAAAGCAAGCCTATTCGCTATATCTCTGTTTTTCCAAATGTGATAGTCTGATCATAATAAGGACCCCGTTTTGGTCAATAAAGCTGATTACAAAGAAGGGGATTGTGTGTGAATAAAATCAACTGACTACTGCAGATAGATGATTGTGATCTGGCGAACGAAATTCCATACTGTATGGTTCGATTTGGTTTCTGTTTATTTCCGTTTGTGGCACGAGAAACGGAAATATTTAGTCGATTTGAATTTTAACTACTTGTGAGTAGGCAAACGTTTTCGGGAGCAATAAACTAGCTCTATGAGAATAAATAACCGAGAGCCTCACATTTGAGTCGTTACTAGTTTTGAGGAAAGGTCAAATGGGTTCATCTCTCATGTTAAGAACGATAAATCGAAACATTATTTCATTGGAAGGAATCCGTTCAGGTTGAACGATGACCGTACGTATAGTTGTATGTATAGTTTGTTCGGTTAACTGCACACCCCGACCGTGATTAGTACACAGTTTGGGATTGTGCAATTACACTTTGCCAGGTACAAATGGTGCGCCTGTCTTATGGTTGGGTTCCTGAATTGGCCACTTTAATTCCGAAAGCTTGATATTTCCGCTACTAGTCATCATTAATAAATTTGTGTTTCTATCGTATAGGACCACTTTTGCGCACTTCGACGACTATGGTGAAAGTTACTCAAAAAATAGCTTCATTTATTACAAAATTTAACATGAAAGAGTGTTGGAAACCTATTGCGCACTTTGTACATAGATCTTCTAAAGCGACTTCAATCGGATCAAGTTCAATGTTGAACGCGCATATCCAGGATGAATCGAAATCTCTGTGGAATAAGGTGGAGATACACCGGAGCTGAATAACGAAAAAGGCTCAAATCAGTCCCCGGGTTCGTTGGCTAGAGAACGTGGGACCATTTGGACGGAATTGAATATCGCTACTGGTTCTACTTTTCGTTGTCTGATATAGAAATTGACATGAAAAATGTTAAGACCGGATTCTAACCGCGACGCTATGCACAATATTTTTAGTGCCCATAATCCAGCACAAGAAATCAAAACACACGAGGGAGCGTGCTGATCGGAATCGGGTTAACGATTTGAGGAATAATCGTGACATTTCATCCATCGATTAAATGAACACCTTAAAATTAGGTCACACTGGTGCATGGATAAAACGGATTGGAGAGAAATTAGTTAGTGTCTGTCATGAACAGCTGTGTCACGTGATTGGACGATCAGTGGGAACTGATAGACAAATGCATACGCAGCATCCTTATATATAACGTGATACGTTGTTATCCCATAGCGATCAACTGGTTTAGGGATGCTTTGGGACCTGCGCAGAGCGTGCTCTGTTGGTTGGATATTTGTAGTTTGTGAAGGTGCATTTAGAGAATTAGTCGGTTGTTCGGTTCTGACAGGATTATCGTTGCTTCCAGAACTTTCAGTCACGCGAGGTAGAAGATGGTCAGAATGTAAGCAAACAAGTCGTCCATCGCCGAGCTTCAAGGTAGTGATGTTACCAGCAGATGAAACGCTTATAACTAGATGCTATGTGGACTCATGTGGGAGTTTCGTGCAAACCGGATCGGACTCATTAAACAAACGATTTTCAGTTTGAGATGATTGTGCATGCAACTTTTCCTGCTGTCTTGCTCGGGGGGAAGGGAACAGTAGTTGTAACCTTGTTCGGAGGGTACAACCAAAAATTAATTCAGTTGGTGATCGTCCGGTGGTGTCTGTAGGAAGCGGAAAGTAGCCTGTCCAGTNGTTTGGTCTGCAAAGTTCCTGCACTCTGTTGATGAATGTCTTGTTTGACCGTCTGCACTGCTCGTTCCGCCGTGCCATTCGATGTCGGGTGGTATGGAGCTGACCGTATATGCTTTGTGTATTACATTGTTGCGGAGAAACTTTGAAACTCTTCACTGGTAAACGGTGTTCGATTGTCCGTGCACATTGCTTCTGGAATAAGGAATGTTGCAAACGAAGAACGCATCTTGGAAACCGTAGCCTCTGTCGTAGCATGACTAACTGGATGAACTTCTATCCACCTCGAGTAGGTATCGACTATGATGAGGCACATCGCGCCTTTTATAGCGTCAAAATAATCTGCATGTCTCCTCTACCACGTCTTTTTTGGCCAACGCCAAGGATGAATAGGACCTGGAGAGTTTTGACATTGCTGTCTCTAGTATACATCATATTTCCGAAATAAATCCTTCATATCTTGATCAATCTGTGGCCACCAACAATATCCNTTTTCATTCGGGTAACACCAGGGTGAGCATCTTGCAGTTCAAGCAACAGTTGTGGTCATGCTCTGCATCATCAAGAGTGTGCCCGATGCCTCTGTACAATCGAATAAACAAAGTTTGAACTATTCCTAAAGGTCTTTATGTGATCATATTCATGCTACTAATGAGTAATCAGTATACAATCGTGATTATTCCCTGAGGGGCATGACTGTCGTACACGTGCACACAAACAATACATATCTAAGGCAGTGTTTCGTCCTGGGATTCAATGAGTTCAGTAATCAAGAACTAATGAGCATCAAACCAAAGAAGTAGGGTTTACTCGTTTCATGCATTGATTAATAGCTTTCTTTTGATGAATTTATTTTCTAGCTAGATTAGGCTCCAAACTGACTTAACCAGCGACCTAGTATGAAGCATTAGACACACTGCAAATAACCGACATGCTAACTTTAATAACTCACTATCTTTCCATGTGATTTCCAACTGGGGACTAGCTTGGTTTCGCATGCATGATCAAGCACGCACAGTATTTTTCATTCTCATTTCCTCTTATTGAATAAACTGAATGATACAATATTCAAGAAAGGGAAAGCTACCTAGCTAAGGGTTTCCATACATCACGTAGAAGTCAGACGATGGTGTTGGGATTCGAACACACGTTCATCTTCCGCGTGGATATTTGATGACCTTACCACCGGGCTACCACCCAGTGGCCTACTTGCTCACAAGGTGTGGATAAAAATTATCTGTTTCTGGCAGGCAGAGTGATCATTTCATGTTTCTCACAGACTTACCTATTAAAATATCATCCGGAATCAAGAACTGTCCATCTATTGAGTGTCGGCAACTGTCATATTTTTCCAAATCGATAGTCGGTCCACGTTCCTCATTCACCAGATTGTCCCAACCGATTCCCGGGAGCACAGTAAGCCAACGTTCCTGCGGTCCGGGAGTGCATTTTCTCTCGAATGTTGGAGCCGCATCATCATTGACCAGATCTCCGGCTACTAACTTGTAATCCGGGACGGTGGGAGTGCTCTCGACAAAAAGATAATTGCATCTATTTCATTTTTCAGAAAAAAGGCACCAAAACGGAAGAAATCAATTGAATGAAATATTCACCTTGATGATGTTCAAGTGTAAACTGAGTTCAAGGGCACTCTAACGTGCCAATACAAAGCATAGTAGCTTGTTATTTAGGGACAATCGTGGAGGAATCTATAAATCTATCGCAGCTATTCGCTGATCACGAACTGCAATTGTGTGGATTTCTTAAATTCATCCTCTACATCCCTTCATTCTCTCTACTGCCTGTGGTGATTCAGAGAATCAGCGTTCAAGTTGCTTGACGGTTATTGTTCGAGGTCCTCTCAAATAGTTTAATTAGACACTGAACAAAATAATTTTATAGCTTAGAAAGCAAAGCTGTCTAAGAGCATACTAGTTCTCTTATTATCAAGTATGTTTTATGAAGTGTAAGGAAATTTGTCCCGAAGGACATTTACTTAAATCCAGACCCAAAAATCTGAATAAATGACGGGAAGCCAACTGAGAGAGTATTATCGGAGTGATAGTTTCAATCAGTTAATCGTCGTGAAGTTTGACATGTCAATTTGAATCAGGTGTGAGCACAGCTGGTATGCCTCAAAACATCAAAATCTTCCGGTCCCGACGGATCATGTCCAATCGTCCTCAGGGAATGTGTGTATTATCTGACGGAGTCAGTCCTAACAAGGAAGCCAGGAAATTCGGACCAATCGCCTACAATTCGGCTTTACTAAACACTTTTGAAAAGTTTATGCATACTAACATTATTCCCAACACACGGCAGTTAGACCTTAGTAGACGCTTTGCGCTTTTGGTAAACTTAGATTTGAAACCCCTAGACATGCATGGTACGCCATTCCGCGCGTTTCCTCAACTACAACAATGCTTTTAGTTATCTTGACAGAGACAGGCTTTTGTCTCTACTCCAGTGTGCTAGATTGTCCAATACTACCCTATCTCTACTCCAAGATTATTATGCTGGTAGAACACACTTCATGAAGTTTCTTGGAGAAATTTCTGACTCTCTGTCAGTCAATTCAGGGCTGCTACAGGGTTATAAACTTCCCGGTGATTTCTGTTTCTCACAGCATTAAACTAGATTATCCGCTTTGAGTTTATGGTCTTCGGGTTCCGAATGAATTATCAATGCCTCTAAATGAAGGGATGTTAACTTCTCACTGGAGAAAAAGGAAAACGGCGACATTCCATTTTAAAGAAATTGTTCTGCACTCTATGTGGACAACTAGTCTGTTTCCTCAGTACGTTCTTTGCAATACCTCGGTGTTGCTATCTACCAATATCTCACCTAGACTTCACATTTAAACTCTACTTTTAAAAACAATCGATGATTGTTTTTCTTCATTACCCGTTTGCGATCTTTAAAGGTCCCACTGTATTTACTCACTCGATTTGTGTTGTAGGTCTTAGAGGTAAACACTACACAATTGTAAACCGATCTGTCAAAAATGATTTCGCGTAAGCGGTATACCATATTCAGACTTGTTTAAATTTATCGATGAAAAACATTTTACCCCTTGCGAAAACTTCTGCATCAAGATTCCACCCGGTATTAATCATCGATTGCCCACAGAACTTAAACCATATGTATCCACTTCTGTAACTAGGTGTATGTATGCTCGTATATACAACTGCCGACCGTTTGTTCGTTGTTCCATATCTTTCGAGAGTTTTGGCACAAAAACATCCGTTAGAAAATAAGTTTGGAATTTTTATTCCATTCATATTAGGATGAATAAAGCGAGTTTTGATTGTGAATGTTATAGTATTATTAACACACCGATTTCGGTAGAGAATTATAATCACTGACGTTTCGGTTACTGTGGGTAACCTTTCTCAAAGCAGTCTTTACAATCAAATGACTCAGAGCGATTATAATTCTCTACCGACATTGCTGTGTTATTGACACTATAGCATTCAAAATAAAACAACACATGGTGCATCGAATTTTTGATACACTCTTAACATCATTTGGTCACGATGTGTTAAAAAACGATTTTTGACTTGACTTGATTAAGTGAATATTCAGATAATTTGCAAGCTTTTCCAGATAGTTTGAATGCTAGTATAGCTATGTTTGCACCTTCAAACTGTTAAATGTCACCACGGGACTGGGTTGCTTCAGTCCCCAACCTCACTTTCGGGAACTAGTAGAGACAGAGTAGAAAGTCTGCTATTTGGGTAGCTATAAATTAATTGGCGGATCTATCACGGATGAAGTATAGGCTTGCACGGAGGAGGATAGATTGGCGTTTGGCAACGTCAGACATCTATGGCGCCATCCGGACATCGATCTCTGGTTGAAGGGTCGAGTTTATGCTACAGCAGTTTCACCGGTGCTTCTATACAGATCAGAAATAGAATGACTGTTGGTGTTCCATCACCATTGTCTACGTAGCATTGCACAAGTGTGCACCGGGAACTAGACAAATTTAGTCACAGAGTTTTAGGCTAGTGTGATCGACCCCTGGAGCAAGTAGTCTACCTCCATAGATTACCCTACCTGGGACATGTACTACGCATGTCACCACATAGGTTGCCATGGCGATCGATGTTTGCTGGAAATCGATTAAGGGTGGTCAAACTAAGACCTGGCATGATGGTAGTAGCTTCATATTCTGGGTGAATCAAGCAGAAAACATCTGCAAGCCTGTCGTATCAATCCACTAGTCAGGAATTATAGATTTGTGTGCGCAGATTTCTGATAATTCAGTATGACTTTAATTTATCCTGTTCGTCCTCTCTGCTGCCCATAGTTCAAAAAAGCAATATTCGAATCCCGCACTCCATCCCAAACGGTCGAATCAGATTTGAAAACCAAAACCAAAAAAACGAAGTGATTTTCTAGTGTCGAAACCTCGCAATTTTTCTGCTTATTAGGCATTGTGTGTGTGTGTGTGTGTGTAAGGGGATTTGTCGCAAAGGAGATTCAATGAAATCCATATTGGAACATATAAAGGGGTCCAAAAGATATTTTTCTGTTTTATTCAACTCGCGTGAACTCCGATTGCGTTAAATAAGTTTTGTTCTGAACCGCTCTGACAGACCAGGTGCTACATGTGTATTTTTAATTTATTAATTGACACTACTCTGGTGATTGACGTGAGGTCTTGTTTGTTTAATCGAAACGTGACTTAAATCGGACTACATAATTGTGAACTTGAGCTCGGTGAAAAGCATACCACCCCATATCGGAACCCTTTAAACGCACAACAGACCGATTTCAATCCCTTTGCTGAGATCGGGGTGGTTGCTTTAAAACTGCTTAGTTAGGAGTTACACACCGGTGGAAGCGCTACGCTAATCTGGCAATATTTTCACTGGCATGTTTTACCTTCTCCACTGAGACTCGAAAGGAAAAGGAGGCAGTCGGATCGTTGATGTTTGCAAGTGTGTGTGTGTGTATGTGTGTGTTTGTGTGTGATTGCTTGCGTTCTTGCGAGCGGACGGAAGTGAGTGAGTATAGTTGATTTTCGTTAATTCCATGTCAGTCAAGATTTGAGCAAAAGTGATTAAAATGAAGTGAAGAGTATAACGAAACAGCGATGGTATGCTTTGTGCAGAAACTCGTCTGTGTAGAACTCTTGACTATTTTGAAAATTTATGGAAGAATACTGTGACTGAAAAATAACACAATATCATAATTCAAAGAATCTTTGTTCTACGGATGCTCATGACTTCAAGATTAGCTTTACAAACTTAAAACACACTGTGGGCGAACATATGTTTTCGGTGAATTCTATTTCAAGCTTTTACAATTACATGTATATGAAACAATATCAGCAAGGTCGGGTTCATGAACCCGAAAGAACTCCAAACTAGTAAGCTGTTCGGATTACGTAACCAATGGTCGGTATGTTACGTCATAGTCACGCAAAAAGATGATCAGGTGGTCGTCAAGGTCCGTAACCGTACTGCTCTCGACAGGGTGTGGTGAGACTCAACAAACGATTGTAAATGTCGAACGAACGCATGCAAATCACGTGTCCTATCTCTCGACCAAATGAGCAACGATTGAATTTGACACTGTCCACTCCCACCATGTGTTGTGAGTCAATTTGGATTATTGATTGCGATTTGTAAAAATAAAAACAATTTAAACTAGGGCTCCGCGGGCAAGGGAAACTTCTGGCGCAAAGGTTTGGGCAGTCGCGATCGACCTCTATAGATTACGTTCGTTGGGACAGGTGTTACGTATGTCACCGACCATCAGCGTTTAAGGATGGAGGCTC